AATCTATGCTGAGATATCCCAATAACCATTGTAAATGTATATTCATCACAAAATATAACTCCTCTGGTGAGATATTGCGCATGCGCTAACACACTAACTTAGCCAGATTGTGTACGGACTGGTATACGCAGCCGAGACCTTACATGCAAGGTCTTCCTCCTATTTCTTAAATGATGTCTACTGATGGAATGTTATTATATAAATCTATGCTAGGATGACTCTTCTTCATTTTAAATGCATAATCATTGAAAAATACAATTTCTCTCGGAAGATATTGCGCATGCGCGCGCACTGTCTTAGGCGTGCAGTGCCGTCTGAGGCAAACTTCATAATATAGCTTGCTGAGGGAGAGAGGAGATGGGAGACTGAGGAAATGCGGCAGGGAAGATAGCTGGGGGCGGTAAACGAAGAAGGAGGCTGAGCGATGGACAGGGGAGGCAAGGGAAAGGACGCAAGAGCATAAAGTAGGTGTTTTGTACCCTACATGGTAGGGCGCTCTCCTAATTATAAACGCATGTCAACTAATAAAAGTTTATTAGGGAAATCTATGCTGAGATATCCCCTAACCATTTTAAATGTATATTCATCACAAAATATAACTCCTCTGGTGAGATAATGCGCATGCGCTAACACACTAACTTAGTCAGATTGTGTAATGGCTGGTATACGCAGCGGGGACCTTACATGCAAGGTCTTCCTCCTATTTCTTAAATGATGTCTACTGATAGAATGTTATCATATAAGTCTATGCTAGAATGACTCCTTCTCATTTTAAATGCATAATCTTTGCAAAATACGATTTCTCTCGGGAGATATTGCGCATGCGCGCGCTCCGTGTTAGGCGTGCAGTGCCGTCTAAGGCAAGCATCATAATATAGCTTGCTGAGGGGGAGAGGGGATGAGAGACTAAAGAAAGGCGGCAGGAAAGATAGCTAGGGCGGTAGAAGAAGAAGGAGGCTGAGCGAGGAACAGGGGAGGCAAAAGGAAGGACGCAATGACACAAAGTAGGTGTTTTGTAACCTACATGCTAGGGCGCTCTTCTAATGATAAACACATGTCAACTGATAAAAGTTTATTAGGGAAATCTATGCTGAGCTATCCGCTAACCATTTTAAATGTATATTCATCACAAAATATAACTCCTCTGGTGAGATATTGCGCATGCGCTAACACACTAACTTAGCCAGATTGTGTACTGACTGGTATACGTAGCCAGGACCTTACATGCAAGGTCTTCCTCCTATTCCTTAAATGATGTCTGCTGATGGAATGTTATCATATAAATCTATGCTAGGATAACTCCTCTTCATTTTAAATGCATAATCTTTGCAAAATACGATTTTTCTCGGGAGATATTGCGCATACGTGCGCACCGTGTTAGGCGTGCAGTGCCGTCTGAGGCAAACTTTATAATATAGCTTGGTGAGGGGGAAAGGGAATGGGAAACTAAGGAAATTCGGCAAGGAAGGTAGCTGGGGGCGGTAGAAGAAGAAGGAGGCTGAGCGAGGGACAGGGGAGGCAAGGGGAAGGACGCGAGGGCATAAAGTAGGTGTTTTGTACCCTACATGCTCGGCCGCTCTCCTAATTATAAACACATGTCAACTGATAAAAGTTTATTATGGAAATCTATGCTGAGATACCGCATAACCATTTTAAATGCATATTCATCACAAAATATAACTCCTCCGGTGAGATATTGCGCATGCGCTAACACACTAACGTAGCCAGATTGTATACTGGCTGGTATACGCAGCCGGGACCTTACATGCAAGGTCTTCCTCCTATTTCTTGAATGATGTTTACTGATGGAATGTTATCATAGAAATCTATGCTAGGATAACTCCTCTTCATTTTAAATCCATAACCTTTGCAAAATCCGATTTCTCTCGGGAGATATTGCGCATGCGCGCGCACCGTGTTAGGCGTGCAGGCCCGTCTGAGGCAAACTTCATAATATATATAGCTTGCTGCGGGGGAGAGGGGATGGGAGAGAGACTGAGGAAAGGCGGCAGGGAAGATAGAGTAATAGGGATGCCGAGGGACGGTAGAAGAAGAAGGAGGCTGAGCGAGGGACAGGGGAGGCAAGGGGTAAGACGCGCGGGCATAAAGTAGGTGTTCTGTACCCTACATGCTAGGGTGCTCTCCTAATTATGAACGCAGGTCTACTAATAAAAGTTTATGACAGAAATGGGAACGCCAGAGCAAGGACGTGAGGGCGACCTCTCATTGACTACTCAAGACTACTGGCCAGACAATAGGTTCGGACGTCTGAATTAATCTCTGTAAAGACCTGCAATTCCAGCTTTGATGCCGCCGCTAACCGATAGCTCTTGAAATGTTCGTGAAACATCGGAACGATCTTCATCACGTGACGTGCCTCTCTGCCTCTGTACTGCATCTGGTCTCTCTCAACCCTGTATGTACGAGAACAACATAGGATATCTATAATATCTATTTGTTCTATTTATATATAACACATAAGATTATCTACTGTTACAGTAATGTGACTAAAGAGCCAAGACAAGAGAAGACAGTACGCGGTGATATCTCTTATAGATTCGAAACTATAACTGGTAAGATCTCAATCTTTATACCACAAAAGAGGGCAATGGAAAGGTATCATTCATCTATGTTTCAAATGATAGTTGGAACTCCCTACCATGATACATCACAAGTAAAAGTGTTACGGCTAAACACGGTAGCGTCTCCTATAGTATGCATGTATACTAGCACAAAGAAGGATTCCCATGAGTTTTTCTAATTACCTCCGCCAAGGAGGTTATATGTTTTCGCCCCTGTTAGTTTGTTTATTGGTTTGTTGGTTTGTTTGTCTGTCAACAGGATATCTCAAAAAGTTACGAACGGATTTTGATGAAATATTTTGGACGGGTTGGTCTTGGGCCAAGAACCAATCGATTAGCTACCAAAACAATTGTTCCGTGTATTACGTTATATCCCGCGTGTATTACATTGTGTACAATTCTAATTCATGTAACTGAAATAAATCGTTTTATATCAGGCCTGAAATTGCTTAAAACAATGACTGTATAACGCTTATTTTGCTTCGATCAGCTCAGATTTCTTCATATAAGGGACCGTAATATGACTATTCTGATCGCAGGACAGCGTCAGTGATGACACAGCATGACTGTGCGCCTACCCGCAAACTGATGTACTATATATCAGGTTAACAGGCAGTTGCAGGAAGTGTCGCACAGATGTTTCCCCAGCACGTTGCATGCTGATGATATGCGTGAGGAAATGACAACATGTTTTGCACTCTCGCCCACTCTCGAAACTTTCCCCGAAGTCATGGCGACGGTGATTATTGGTCACTGGTTCAAATACGTCACGAATTACACACGTCCCCACTGACGACCGCGCCCACGCATATACGCACGCACACACATGCACACACGCACACCCCCACCGACGCAGGTACGCATGCATTCACCCACTCACCCACGCAGGCGCGCACGCATGCATGCACGCATGCACACGCAGATAATGCGCACACACGCGCCTAGATGTAGATTCGTACCTATTATAGCCGAATAAGGAGTAAGATTTAATTTGTTTCTGCGCCACCTCGCTGTCGTAATAGTAGATGCAACCTGCGTGGAGCACGACGTACGTGGCTGTCCCTGCAACCAAGCAGACAACGAACCATATATACAACTATATATATATATATATATATAATATTATATATCATATCTATCTATCTATCTATCTATCTGTATAATATCAAGAGCAGATAAAGAAGCACCCCTTCTTTATCTGCTCTTTGATAATATAAGTATATATATATAGTTATATATATAATCTTATATATTATATAGATAGATAGATAGAATAGATAGCATAATATATGTATGTGCGTGTGTGTGCGTGCGTGTTTGTGTGTGTGCGGTGCTGCAGCGCGCCGCCTGTGCGTGTGTGTGTGTGGGGGTGTGTGTGTGTGTGTGTGTGTAGTGTGTGTGTGTGTGTGTGTGTGTGGTGTTGTGTGTGTGTTTGTGTGGTGTGTGTGTGTGTGTGTGTGTGTGTGTGTGTGTGTGTGTCTGTTTGTGTATGTGTGTGTTTACACATATACTGTACAATAAAGTTGAACAGGGTCCTGGCTAGGCACGACGAAATGTATTATTTTCGTAGCTCTATCCTAACAGCTATATAAGGATATATATCTATATATCTATAACAGCTATAACACAGAGCTGTAACTTAGGAATTGGAATCCCAGGATGAATAAATCAAAGTGCCCCAACTTCCTCTGCATGTACACTCGCCAGCAAATCCCCCGATATGTGCCAACAACAGTATTTCCGTTTTCTTCTGTCACGTATGTATATAACGTATGTGTGAATCTATCACGTATGTAACTATAGCCTATAGGGTTAAGGAACTATGCGCTAACCCGGGTTAGCAGTGTCTACCCGACGCTTAACCCGAGACAGCTCTTAACCCGGGTTAGTTAACCCTCCTCACACCTCGCGGGGTTACACTAAACCGGGTTAAGACGTATCTCAGGTTACGGGTTAGGCCATCGTGTAGGGTTAGGCCCTCGTGTAGGGTTAGTTAACCCGGGTTAGGCCCTCGTGTAGATGGTTAACCCGGGTTAAAAATCCTCGTGTAGACGGGGCTATAGCGGACAGCGTGTGGACGGACTTACACGTGCATTTTCCCGTGATGATCTGAAGACTTCGTCTGCGGAGATGACCGCAGTGTGTGCACTGGTCGTCGTCCGTGAGTGCTTGAGCTCCGATCTCGGCGTGTGGCTGGGGGACATCAACACACGGCTGCTGCATGCTTGCTAGCTTACCTACAAGCGCAATCTCAAACCCTACCTGCATATATGCGCACGCAATATCGTATCAGAATGTGTATATGCGGGCACACAGGAGGTAAATATATTTTGATAAATTTAGAATAATTTTGTTATGATAAATTTATAATAAATTTAAAATGAGAGTGATAATTTGTTGTTATTCATTGTGCACGGTGTACGTCAAGCATGAGTCGTACAAATGTATGTTCGTGTATGACTACCTCTCTCTTCTGTTTTTCCCCTACGCCCCCCCCCCACCTCTCCCTTTTCCCCTTTCTCTTTATTTATGTGCATGTGCATGTGTGTGTGTGTGTGTGTG